AAGGAAACCACCCAGTGCTCGCCCCAGCTTTTGCCCCCAACCCAACCAGCCAGGTTTGTTTCTGATATATATATATATGTATATATATATATTTAGTGAGCCTTAACAAATGCATGCAAATCTCACTTCTTGAGCCAACAGAAGTCTAAACTTGTTGTTTACCAACATGTAACATGGTCTTCCCAAAGCTTGAAGTTCAGGAACTCAGGTGAGCGCAGAATCAAGACTTTGTTCCGGCGACTTAATTTTTCGTTTTTTACCCCTCATGCCAAAACAAACATCCTTCCATTTGGTTAAGGCCCCAGGAAAATTGTTCCAGTCGTGATGAACTCCTTTTAAACCCAACAAGGGGGAACAAAAAAAACATATTCTGAAACGCAAACGGAAGTGTTACAACAATGAACAACAATCGCAGCCCTGTTGACAATGTTCCCCTTGCTGGATGCCCTTTGCCAAGGCACCGTTCAAAAATGTGAGTTCCAGTTCATGGAGGCAAACTGCATGTTTTTAAGCGAGGCTCTTCCATTTGCTTAAGCAGGGATCCTTACATTATACACCTGAACATTGCCTTGCACATGGTGGTTTTCCTTTATTTCGGTGGACAAAGCCATGTTTCAAATGGGCCAAATGTATATTTTAAGGAGCCCTGTTGAGCCCCCTGGGGAAAAACAAAAACATATTGCCAGTAGTGATCGATTCCTGTTACAACCAACAGGGGAAACTAAGAAATATTCATTTCAGCAAATGGAGGCAGCCGAATCCATCTTAAGCGAGGCTGAGCTCCCAAGCCGGGCTGCCCGCCGGCGATGCGAAGCGTCTGGCATTCGGGACGTGGCTTAGGTCACCCTTTTGGCTTGGGCGTGGCACAAAGATCGGGGAACACACGGACCTGAACAGGGCTCTGGGAAATGGAATCCTCTTCTGTGATACAACAAAATGGGCCTAACCCCGAAGACTAATCCACCCTCTAAAAGGGAAGATTCTCTTGTATCACAGAAGTGGGGATAAACCCCTGGATCCGACAACCCTGGACCTGAATGATGAACTTCCCTCAAGCTCCCTGTGAAGAAATCCCAAATGAGGTAGCCTCAAAACACCATTGGCAGCTTCGGAACGTGATCGAGCTCAAACTTAGCTCTACATCACCCAAATACCTGCACTCACCATGGAAGCTGACACTAGTCTCTTTGAGGAGGATTTCTGTTGGGGTTTCCCTCAGGCTCAGATGGCTAATGGGAGGGATGTGCCTTCTGGCCCCTTGGACCATCTTTGGGGGAGCTTAAAACCAACTCCCGTAAAGAAATTTGGAGTTGGGTTCAACTTAGGGAACCACAGCATGTTCCCAATCATTTGGGACACGTTGACAGGGGTCCCTGTATTTCCCTTTTGAACACCACCCCTCCAAAAACGAAGGTCCGTTGAAATTGGCCCAAATGGCGATGTCTAAACCCCCCCAAGAGGGGAAATATAGGGAGCCCTGATTGAACAACCCTCCAATTTTGTAGGGAGAAGGCATTTGCACAAACCCCAGCACTCCAAGTTAGCGGACATGCACGATTTCTCGAGGGTGTCTCACAACCAACAGACCGCCGCGCAAGTAGACGCACCGCTCGCACTGAAGTCTTTGAAGGCTGGCCGAATTTGTGGGTTCCTCACTACCTAATTCAATGGGTTGCGCAACAGAAGTCCAAACTCTATACTTACCACTAGAATGGTCTTCCCGAAAAGAATCGGGTCCGGGAACTCGGGAAGTGAGGTTCCCACTTTCTTCCCTTCAAGGTGGGAGCTAGGGTTTGGATCCTATGAATCGGCCGCGACTTTTTGCCGGGAGCAAGCTAGCCCCTCATGGCTTCGCCATGTGGACCCTGCCGTGACAAGATGCTCTCGGCTAACTAACTGTGGCCATGGCGATCAACTTCTCACTTCTCAAGTGGCTTGGCCAAAAATGGTGGAAGCTGATTGTTTGTGATTTTGCCAGGGTTGCGTTTCCTGTTTGTCCCCAGGCCGAAAACACTGGGGGACCTCTTTATGGGTCAACTCTAGTTTGAGTTCCTTTGGCAGTAATTTCCCCCTTCTTGAGGAAAGGGGAGGTACCCCAATTCCATTTTATTTTTCCAGTTCCTCCCCAAAAGGGAACCGGACATGAAATTCCAGTGCTCACCCCTCCCCAATTCCATGTCTAAAGGTGTGGGGATGGCAGTAACGACCAAATGGAACCCAGGATTTTGCCGTTCATACATGAATCTGGAAATGTTTCTATAACTCCAAAAGCTGAATTAAGAATTGATTTCCAAGTAAAGGACCTTTATCGTGGTGAGCTCGCTGTAAGTTAGGCAAACGAATGCCAACCCAGCCGCCTGGCCACATTCACGCATGCACGTCTGCCCGAAACCGCAAGTCTCAGACAAGAACTCCCTAGAAGTAACCCCACCATGGGCATCCGATGGCAAAATATGTGATGTCAACAAACCTTTCCCAAAACAAGGGAGCATTGGGAATCATAACCACGAAAAATCTGGAAACACCTTTTACAACCACTTTAAACAATAAACAAGCTGAGATGCCAATATTCGCTTTCAAGCGAGCCGCCAAAGGAAGCTATGAGCGAAACAAGGGGCTGGGTCTCCGCCAGAAACGGGGGTAGACGTTCATACTTAGTGAGCCTTCAATGCAACACAAGCTCCAAGAAAAACACAGAACAACTGAGCATCTCTGATAAGAGATGCACATGACCAACAAGCCCAGCTCTGCCAGGAGTACAGGTCCTGTCCTGATAAACAGCTTCAATTCGCTGAAGTCCCCTGGAAAGAATAACAAACATCCAGCAGTCACAGAGTCTTTGGTTTAGGGGACCCCCAAAAATTGCCCCCCCCCCCCCCCCCGCCCCCAAAAATACTTCGCTTCGAGCAATCCCCACCCTCCACACTCACGAGCTTACGACCGTGAACACGGTTGTGTGAATTCAAGCATGGTTTTCGAGTGGCTTGGGGCCTATGACTGCTCAAGCATTGAGAGCCTTATCCACCTGTCTGTGTGTCAAACTCCACTTGCGAGCCGATCTCGAGAACTCAAACATCGGTTCCGTTAACAAAAGCCAAGCCCCTTCCAAAAAGAAACCCGACGGGGGATTAAACAAAGTTGCTTATTCACAGCCCAAAGCAACACGAAAACATCACCCTTTCCGAGGGTCAGGGCGCACTCAAAACACGAAGGCACCAACATGAAATGTAAACCCAACTGTGCGCCGGGCGGGCCATTAAGCAAAACCAGACTGGCGAGCTGCTCTGGCAAGATACTGGCGGGATCCACTGGTGAATGCTGGCGAGCCGCTCCGGCTCGATACTGGCCGGATACTCGGCAGGATCCACCGGCAGGATCCACCGGCAAAGGATACTCAGCAGACTCGGCGGGAGCCACTGGCAAGCTACTCTGGGATACTCAGCGGGATACTCGGCGGGTGCTCTGGCGGGATACTCGGCGGGATCCACTAGCGGGCTGCTGGGATACTCAGCGGGATGCTCGGCGGGATCCACTGGCGGGCTGCCCTGGTGGGATACTCGGCGGGATCCACTGGCGAGCCGCTCTGACGGGATACTCGGCGGGATCCACTGGCGAGCTACTCTGGCATACTCAGCGGGATACTCGGCGGGATTCACTGGCGGGCTGCTCTGGCGGGATCCACTGGCGAGCCTCTGGCGGGACTCGGCGGGATCCACTGGCGAGCCGCTCTGACGGGATACTCGGCGGGATCTGGCGGGCTGCTCTGGGATACTCAGCGGGATGCTCGGCGGGATCCACTGGCGGGCTGCTCTGGTGGGATACTCGGCGGGATCCACTGGCGAGCCGCTCTGACGGGATACTCGGCGGAATCCACTGGCGAGCTACTCTGGGATACTCAGCGGGATACTCGGCGGGATTCACTGGCGGGCTGCTCTGGCGGGATCCACTGGCGAGCCTCTGGCGGGACTCGGCGGGATCCACTGGCGAGCCGCTCTGACGGGATACTCGGCGGCCACTGGCGAGCAGGGGATCCACTGGCCAGCCGCTCTGGCGGGATACTCGGCGGGATCCACTGGCGAGCCGCTCTGCCGGGGGTCCACTGGCGAGCCGCTCTGCTGGGATACTCGGCGGGATCCACTGGCGAGCAGCTCTGGCGGGATACTGGGTGGTGTAGAAGCATCGCAAACGCGGATTCCAACATAGAATCTAACAACCCCTTCCTGTCGGGTGGGGAAAAATGAAAAAATGGGTGGTTTTCCGGTTGGTGTCCCTGCAAAGCCATGAAACAAGGAGACCCTCGAAACAAGACACACCCATCTGCGAAAACAACAACTCATTTGCTTTCTGCTCCCCTGCCTGTTTAGTGGTTTAATACAGAAAACCCAGTGGCTGGCAGAGATGTTGAAGTCCTACTGTTAACCCCGGATTAAGCAGAACCCCTGGTTGATTGGGGTGTCCAATTCCTTTTAGTGGGGATTCAGACCACTTTTGGAGGGAACACCCCCCTAATAGTGGGACGGGTTGATTAATCCTGGGTCAACATTCACATCCATGCAACATGCACCAAAGCCAAGAGAGGGAACAAACAAATAAATCTGAACCGCAAATGGATCATCTGACACACTTCCTAAGGCATCGCGGCCAGCGCCCGAGACCAAGGGCCCAAGGCCTCAAGCGCTTGGGGGAACAGCCACACGGCCATCCTCAGAGAGACCTTGGTTCCTTGGGATTGGTTTGATTCAGGTTCTCCAAGCGCGATAAGGACATGCCTCGGGACTTGTTTTGAAATGCAATGTGGCAACAGCGAGACACCCCAAACTAAAGAAAGCCTTTTAAGTATGATCTAAGTATGTTGACTTCCCCGTTTCTGGGCAAAAGGCTTGTTTCGGTGCAGCCCCAGCCCGGCAACAAGCAACAAAAACAACAGAACAGTAAAGTTCGGCCAACGAGACTTGCCAGCACTTCCCAGAAGTTGACTCTTGACCCAATCCTCTGTGTAT